GTGACAGTCACGGCTCTCTGCAGGGACAGGATCGAGAAGTGAGCGAGCGACGGTATGTGTTCGCTCACTTCTCGATCTATTGAGCCGACGTGTGACAGTTTCATTGTCACACGTCGGCTCCAACTATGAGGCTGAGTGATTTTCACTCACCTCATAGATTCTCCTTTAAGGTTTATCATGACCTATATTAGTGGCACAGTCTGATACAATACTACCTCTGTCTGATGGGAAAATGGAAGCATCCCCTGATTGATGGGGCAGGACACTAGTGAAAGGGTTTAACTTTTTGGGTCATGCCCCTACATCTTACCTATAACTTAGCACCCGAGCCCACTGAATGCTCCGATTCTGTCCATCTTCACCCCGAAGCATCCTCTGGAATAGCCCTTTTTGCTCCTTTGTCTGTATCTTCGTGGCGTACCGACGGGGTCGTTGAGCAGCTGCTGGAGCGTCATCTCGTTAACGTGGGGACCGCCGCCTTGCTCGACCCGGTTTTTGTTCCACTGAAGTTCCGGTTCCAGCTGGTCCAGGGAATCGGTCGGTACCAGCTGTGGGTCCGCCTCATCGGAAGCGTAGGAACGCTCAAAGTTATCTTCTAGCAACCTGGACAAGCTCTAGGAGGAAGGCAGTGGGGTTCATTTATTTATTATATAGCACCATCAATGTACGCAGAGCTTTACATACTGCACATTCATATCGGTCCCTATGCTCGGGAAGCTCACAATCTAAGGGTCCCTATGTCACATGCTCAAATACTAGGACCAACTTAGACAGGAGCCAATTACCCTACCAGCATGTCTTTGGTTATTTCATAGCTAGGGCATCGGCTAGGCCATATTTCTAGACATTGTAATCAAACTTATTTATTACAAGATTTAAAAAAATCAACCTCTCCTTGAGCCCATGGGGATCAAGCCGTGGGGACATGCAAACTGCTGCAGCCCAGAGCAACCCAAACAAATTCACTGCTCATCACCTTATTGTTATCAATACAGTGGGGAAAAAAAAATGATTTCTTAAGGGTTACGGCATTTAGATTTTACTTTGCATTTTGTTTTAAAAGTCTAGCTGACTGTTATTTGTTTGACAGGATGGTGGGAAGCAATTAAAATTAAAGCAATGGGGGATAAATTGGCAAGAATAGGGTGATAGATATGATCTGTCTTACAGAACTATTATATATTGTGTGTATGGCTTCTAGTGATCCCCCCCTTACTACTTGACTATGCTAATGTGGAAGAATCTGAAATGCAATCGTATGCTATACTGATTGTGCATCATGTGCTATTTTATTGTTTTATTCTACTTTGGAAAATTAATAAAATACTTTGAAAGTTAAAATTAAAGCAAAAGGCAGGATTTAATAACAATTACGATTCTGTTTTAGGAGCACGCTGTGCTACATACAATAGGGGCCGATGTATGGAAAGTCTGCAAGCATGATAATTTATTGCCACCACACCTGTCAGTCTCGGACCTGGACTGCGGTATTGACAGTTGGTAGATGCTTGTTGCCCATTGCAACCGGTTAGAATTCTTGCTTCAGCATCAGATGTGGACTGCTCTAATGACAGATGGAAGCTAATGAATTTCTATGGGCTGCTTGAATTATTTTTTACATAGCACTCTTTTCATACATCAGCTCTGTAACCTTCCTTTCCAGCTGGTCCAGGGAATCGGTCGGTACCAGCTGTGGGTCCGCCTCATCGGAAGCGTAGGAACGCTCAAAGTTATCTTCTAGCAACCTGGACAAGCTCTAGGAGGAAGGCAGTGGGGTTCATTTATTTATTATATAGCACCATCAATGTACGCAGAGCTTTACATACTGCACATTCATATCGGTCCCTATGCTCGGGAAGCTCACAATCTAAGGGTCCCTATGTCACATGCTCAAATACTAGGACCAACTTAGACAGGAGCCAATTACCCTACCAGCATGTCTTTGGTTATTTCATAGCTAGGGCATCGGCTAGGCCATATTTCTAGACATTGTAATCAAACTTATTTATTACAAGATTTAAAAAAATCAACCTCTCCTTGAGCCCATGGGGATCAAGCCGTGGGGACATGCAAACTGCTGCAGCCCAGAGCAACCCAAACAAATTCACTGCTCATCACCTTATTGTTATCAATACAGTGGGGAAAAAAAAATGATTTCTTAAGGGTTACGGCATTTAGATTTTACTTTGCATTTTGTTTTAAAAGTCTAGCTGACTGTTATTTGTTTGACAGGATGGTGGGAAGCAATTAAAATTAAAGCAATGGGGGATAAATTGGCAAGAATAGGGTGATAGATATGATCTGTCTTACAGAACTATTATATATTGTGTGTATGGCTTCTAGTGATCCCCCCCTTACTACTTGACTATGCTAATGTGGAAGAATCTGAAATGCAATCGTATGCTATACTGATTGTGCATCATGTGCTATTTTATTGTTTTATTCTACTTTGGAAAATTAATAAAATACTTTGAAAGTTAAAATTAAAGCAAAAGGCAGGATTTAATAACAATTACGATTCTGTTTTAGGAGCACGCTGTGCTACATACAATAGGGGCCGATGTATGGAAAGTCTGCAAGCATGATAATTTATTGCCACCACACCTGTCAGTCTCGGACCTGGACTGCGGTATTGACAGTTGGTAGATGCTTGTTGCCCATTGCAACCGGTTAGAATTCTTGCTTCAGCATCAGATGTGGACTGCTCTAATGACAGATGGAAGCTAATGAATTTCTATGGGCTGCTTGAATTATTTTTTACATAGCACTCTTTTCATACATCAGCTCTGTAACCTTCCTCAAATGCTAACCTGCCCATTCGTTTGATAGGACATTCGTACCGGCATAGCCAACCCAACACTCTGCAATAATTTAAAGGAACAGATCCCGGGTGAGCTGCTAACTTTTAGATTGTAAGCTCTCATGAGCTTGTCGTGAATTGTTTGGTAACTCTATTGCCTCCTTTTATATTGTAAAGTGCTGTGCAAACTGTTGTTGCTATATAAATCCTGTATAATAATAATAATAGTAATAATAATAATATCCCAGCTGGTCACAGGCATATACATAACCGCCCGGTAAAGCAGTACAGGCAAAGTGGGGTATTCCAAAGCAACCAGGTGTCATGATTCTGTAGTGGTAACAGTGATAGATGTATGCTGATTGAGTGCAATGGGTTACGTCTGTTTGCTTTCCTAAATAAGAAGACTTGCTGGGAGGCTTAGTGCCTCGGTGGTCAGATAAATGCAGGTTTCTCCTTAAATCATATTACTGATTTTTTTGTGTGCAAGAAAAAAAATGAACAATAGGAAACACAAATGACAGCAGCCATAAAATTGGTGAAGCTCAAAATAGGGGTGAACAGAGGTATGACACCCCAGGATGCCCTGTTCCACCTACCTGCAGGCTGGACAGTGGTTTCCCCCTGGCGTGGTGATGACAGACCATGAGGAGCATGATGAACCCTAGGCAGGTGCCACGCTTGTAAGACATCTCTCTGCTCCTTCCAGATGCCTGGTGTGTGCCTTAATCCGGCTTATCCCTCGCTGCCTTATATCTGGTGCCCCAGCAGGGCTGCCAGCCCACCCACACGTATGGATTGGCTGCTTATCTCATTCTGCCCATCTTATAAAACAATCATATCCTGGCCTGTGAAGAAATGGCACTCATATATATATTTATAGTGTTGATCTGGCAGGGGAAGAACTTTTCTCCAAACATTGTCTATAGGGGGAATACGTGTTTCTCATATTCACTGTGAGATTTTCTTTTTGCTTTAATCCAGTCTGGGAAAATCAATAGATTTACTGAGACGTCTTCCAAACTGTCACTCTGTATTTCTGCCTCTATTCCTCTGCCCTCTGCTTCACTTTCTGCCCCATTTTCAGCTTCCTCTCCTTCTCTCACTTTTCCTCTCTTCCTCACTCTCTCTTACTCTCCCTCTCTTTATCACCTCTTTCTTTTTGTTTTTCTCCCCTTTTTCTTTTTCTTTATCTTGGTCTCTGTCTCTTCTATGTCTCTCCTCTTCTCTCTCTCCCACTCTCCTCTTCTCTCTCTCTCTCTCTCTCTCTCCCTCTTCTTCTCTCTCTCCTACTCTCCTCTTCTCTCTCTCTTCTTATTATATCTCCTCTTCTCTCTCTCTCCCTCCTCTTCTCTCTCTCCCTCCTCTTCTCTCTCTCCCACTCTCCTCTTCTCTCTCTCCCTCCTCTTCTCTCTCTCCTTCTCTACTTTTCTCTCTCTCTCTCTCTCTCTCTCTCTCTCCCCTCTTCTCTCTCTCCCTCTCTAGTACAGGCAAAGTGGGGTATTCCAAAGCAACCAGGTGTCATGATTCTGTAGTGGTAACAGTGATAGATGTATGCTGATTGAGTGCAATGGGTTACGTCTGTTTGCTTTCCTAAATAAGAAGACTTGCTGGGAGGCTTAGTGCCTCGGTGGTCAGATAAATGCAGGTTTCTCCTTAAATCATATTACTGATTTTTTTGTGTGCAAGAAAAAAAATGAACAATAGGAAACACAAATGACAGCAGCCATAAAATTGGTGAAGCTCAAAATAGGGGTGAACAGAGGTATGACACCCCAGGATGCCCTGTTCCACCTACCTGCAGGCTGGACAGTGGTTTCCCCCTGGCGTGGTGATGACAGACCATGAGGAGCATGATGAACCCTAGGCAGGTGCCACGCTTGTAAGACATCTCTCTGCTCCTTCCAGATGCCTGGTGTGTGCCTTAATCCGGCTTATCCCTCGCTGCCTTATATCTGGTGCCCCAGCAGGGCTGCCAGCCCACCCACACGTATGGATTGGCTGCTTATCTCATTCTGCCCATCTTATAAAACAATCATATCCTGGCCTGTGAAGAAATGGCACTCATATATATATTTATAGTGTTGATCTGGCAGGGGAAGAACTTTTCTCCAAACATTGTCTATAGGGGGAATACGTGTTTCTCATATTCACTGTGAGATTTTCTTTTTGCTTTAATCCAGTCTGGGAAAATCAATAGATTTACTGAGACGTCTTCCAAACTGTCACTCTGTATTTCTGCCTCTATTCCTCTGCCCTCTGCTTCACTTTCTGCCCCATTTTCAGCTTCCTCTCCTTCTCTCACTTTTCCTCTCTTCCTCACTCTCTCTTACTCTCCCTCTCTTTATCACCTCTTTCTTTTTGTTTTTCTCCCCTTTTTCTTTTTCTTTATCTTGGTCTCTGTCTCTTCTATGTCTCTCCTCTTCTCTCTCTCCCACTCTCCTCTTCTCTCTCTCTCTCTCTCTCTCTCCCTCTTCTTCTCTCTCTCCTACTCTCCTCTTCTCTCTCTCTTCTTATTATATCTCCTCTTCTCTCTCTCTCCCTCCTCTTCTCTCTCTCCCTCCTCTTCTCTCTCTCCCACTCTCCTCTTCTCTCTCTCCCTCCTCTTCTCTCTCTCCTTCTCTACTTTTCTCTCTCTCTCTCTCTCTCTCTCTCTCTCCACTCTTCTCTCTCTCCCTCTCTACTCTTCTCTCTCTCTCTCTCTACTCTTCTCTCTCTCTCTACTCTTCTCTCTCTCTCTCTCTACTCTTCTCTCTCTCTACTCTTCTCTCTCTCTACTCTTCTCTCTCTCTCTCTCTTTTCAATTCAAATAAGCTTTATTTGAATTGAATTGATTTATTTGTTCTCTCTCCTCTTCTCTCTATCTCTCTCCTCTCTTCCCTCACAATCTCCGTGGCTTTCTCGTTCCCTTCCCTCTTGCTTTCACTCTCTTTATCTCCATTTCTCTCTCCTCTTCTCCATCTCTACACTTCTCTCTCTCTCTCTCTCTCTCTCTCTCTCTTCTCTCTTCTCTCTCTATCTCCGTCGCTTTCTTGTTCCCTTCTCTCTTGCTCTCCCTCTCTTCATCTCCATTTCTCCTCCTCTCTGTATATCCTCTCCTCTCTCTCCCCTTCTCTCTCTACTATCTCGCAGTCCTCTTCTCTCTTCTTTTCTTTTTCTTCTCTCTCCCTCTCCTCTCTCTCTCTCTCTTTGGCTCGGTTTCCTTCTCTCATTACTCATCTTTATCCCCGTTTTCTCTCCCACCTTCTTAACATCTTCCTCTCTCGCTTTTTTTCTCTTCCACTCTATTGCTCTCCATCTTTATCTTCCTCCCCGGATCCTCTATACTCTCCACATCTTCAGGTTTTATCTTCCTCTCTCTCTTCTTTCATTTTACACTTTCTCTTTCATCTGCTTTCCTTCTTTCTTTCTCTCACTCTCATCTCACCTTTTCTCTCATTTATCTTCATTCTCTTGACCCCCCTCCTTAACTCTCTCTTTCTCTCTATAGGAGTACTAGAGGAACAATAATATCATGATGCCATCACCCATACCAACAGGGTTTTATCATTCGCTTTGGAGAAAGATTAAATAAAACATTTGATCAGAGTTTATTTACCCATGCATCCACCCAATCATCCATCCTTCCACCAACTTGTGCATTCATCCATCCATCCTCCCATCCATGCACCCATCCATCCCTTCACCCACCTCTATATCCACCCATCCATCTCTTATTCATCCATCAATCCATCCATTTACCCAGCTGTCTATCAATTCATCCATTCATCCATGCATTTGTCCATCCATCCGTCGGTCTGTCTACCAGTTGGTCCATCCATTCATCCACCCTGTAGAAAAACAGAGAGAGAGATGGTATCTAATTGGTTGCTGCCAGTCCATCCATTTATTCATCCATCCATCTACCCATTTATCCATTCATCTATCCATCCACTCATTCATCTATCCATTCATCTATTGACCCATCCATCCACCTCTCATCGATCCATCTACCCATTTGTTTATCCATCCATCCACCCATTTATCCCTCAGTCCATCCATTTGTCCATCCAGCCATGCATTCATCCACTCACCCTGCAACAAACAAGAGAGAGATGATATCTGATTGGCTCCTGCCCGTGACTGCACTTTACTCATCCTTGTATAACAAGCTGGCAGCTGGCAGGAATGTCGAACAGATCAGAGCTGAGAAATTCAGCTAAAAGAACAAATTGAAAAAAATGCCCCAATTCCCTGAGCGGGGCAGATGTTGTGATAACAGATTATGAGTAATTAGAGAGATGCGGCCTCACAGAGCTCGTTACAACACAGAATAATTTCAGAGTTTGGCCACCAGCCGCCTCCTGCGACAGCGAGACCGCCAGCCGGGAGAAGACATCAGGGAATCTCAAGGGGTGGTGAAAAAGCAAACTCTGAAAAACTTCTAAACTTCCCAACCTGGGCACTGAAAGACAGCCAGAGATCCTGTCTGCATATCGAATGTACTGTCAAAGGCAACGCAGTTGTAGCAAAAACGTCATGTCTCTGCCTCCCTGCAGCTTTGAAGGTTCCCAGCATGCAGATTTCCTCTGAAGTGCCATGACCTGTGATGTGCAGGGCTCACGCTGTCACCTGTAAGCTGCAAGAAATGCACAAACAAAAACAGAACAGCATCAAAGAGGACCTGTAGTGTGGAAGCTGTGCCCGAAAAAACACAAGCGAGATAAAGGAACGATTCACTAGTATTGCCTATTGGTTTCCTGCAGCTAATCGTTTCCCCAACACTAACTTGCCGTGTCTTGTTCTGTATGGTGTCGCCATGTGGAGGCAGCCACCTAGATAGAGGCAAGGCTTTGACTCCTCAGAAGTGACACCATGATAACCAGTGATCTGATGACTGGTGGGGTAATAGCCAAGAAGCAAAAGGAGTGGTGGAGAAAGCACAGATCCAGAGAGTGGATAAAGCAGAAGCAGGGAGATGATTGTAGTACAGGTCCTTTGGTACCGCTTCCTCTCCAGCAGGACAGTGAGCAGTAGCAAGAGGACAGTGAGCAGTAGCATCACCAAATCCTATTCCCAATCTGATGAAACTAACAGAGGCAGCAGTGCCTTAGATCAGTGGTCCCCAACCCCCGGGCCCGCGGACCGGTACTGGTCCGTGGATCAAATGGTACCGGGCCGCCCAAGGAACATTAAATTATTTCCATTTTATTTACTGTGGTGTATTTCTCTCGGGTTTTTCCGACTTTCCAGGACGAGAGGTTAACCGGGAGCTGAGAGATGTCACCTAAAGCCGCACCAATACCGCGCATGCGCAAAATATCGTGATATCGGGGCGGTTTTAGGTGACGTCTGGAGCTGAGCGGCTGCAAGCGGCAGTGGCGTTGTAGCTTTGGTAAAGAGAAGGTGTGTATCGCTCTTCTCTCTGTTCACCGGTACTTTCTCATGTTTAACAGTGCTTGGTGTACGTGTATATTGTGTTTGCTCAAATTTAACCCACAAATTAGCAAAAATGAGTACGAAACAGACGTCGTTAGAAAGTTTCCTTGGGAAAAAGAAAAGGCCCAGTGAAAAGACAGAAGAAGGGCCTTCAACATCAAAGAAACATGTAACTTTTAACAGACAATACCATGAGTCCTACTTGAAATATGGATTTATCGGGACAGGTGATTCCAATCTAAAATATAAACAATCAACGTCCCCCCCCCCTCAGCGGGCCGCGGTAAAATTATCAAACGTTGACCGGTCCGCGGCGATAAAAAGGTTGGG